ATATTTATATGGCTTAACCTGTAACAGCAGAATAGCTTAACCAATGTGATTTAAGCACATTATTTTTTAAAAAAGGCAACTTATTATGTACTATTTTTAACCTGGGCACTCTGACGCATTCCTCAGTTCCTGGCAAGCCAAGCTGTCCATCAGTAGCCAGACCCCAAGCATATACCTGACCTTTGTCATTTAATGCAAGAGTGTGGGCTTCTCCACATGACACAGCTACAATATTTTGGGCATCCAGTGCACCAACATGCTCTAAAAAAAGGAATAAATAAAATTAGTTGGTTAAAAAAAACCCACTACTAACAAACTAGGCTTGATTCAAACAGTTTACACAGTACTAAGACATCAACTGGAGTGACATTCAACTAAGTCTGTAAGTTCTACTGAAACACCCTTTATTTAAAATTATAAACATGCAATTCTAGGAGAAATAAGTTAAATTTGACACCCTGAAGTAACCAAGTAATGACTGTTTCTGGAGAAATACACAGAAGCGCACAAAACCTGCAGCTTGATCCTAATGGATCCTTCTAATCTTGCCATCTGAAAATGAGTGCAGAAACTCAATTAACAGTAAGGTCAAATAGATTATTGTCAAATGACTACACGTGTAGACATTATGTAAGAGGAAAACATTATACCACAGCAAATTAAATTCACCTATTCATTATTAAGAAAGAGCCTGCAAAACAAGGCAGGGCAAATTACAGACTAAACCTAATGATTTTGCAATGAGCTACACAATGTCTTCTTTATAATGCAAAATACTGTAGAAACGGATCCTAAAGAGTCATTTTTCTAGACACACAGTGCACGCCTCTGAAAAGCACACACTAAAATATCTTTGATTTTTTTCCAGCAGTCTGCACCAATGTATTTGGAAACACTCAAAGCTTGGTTTTGGGCTTATGATTTGTGATCAGAATAACATTTCAATTTCAGCAATAAGTAAAGCAGAGAAATATCATCAGGGCCTGTAATTAAGGCTGGAATTTTTAATAGTTCGCTTAAATAAGGGACTGCTTGGACATTTTACTCCCAGTTTTCAAAAACAAATTCTATCCCAGCCTAAGAATGGCACACCACTGGAAAAGCCTGTGTATTGTCAACATTATGGGCACTCTAAACACAGCCCAGCCCAAGTCAGCTTCACAACAGTAGCTCACATTATCTGCAGCATGACAGGCACTCAGCTTCCAAAATAAACTAACACGGGCAGCAGATATAAGTTCTTTTTATTACATCCAGCTGGTCTGACTAAAGAGGTTAGCACCCCAATTCACCCATCAGAGCCTCCCACAGCTCTGCCAGTGGGAGAGGTCGTGGAAGCACTCTCCAGCTCGGGCACCAGCACACAGATTAGCTCAGGCAATCTCCCCCAGCTGCTGAAGCAGCCAGCCTGACTGCCTAAAATGGATTAAGGAACAGCCATGCAGTCCCTATGGCAAGCAGAGTTCTAGAAGGAGGAAAGAAGAAAGGCAGTGGGGACAAGGAGGTAGCAAAGACATACAGTCAGCAACAAAATTATCTTCAGTTAGCAGAAACACATTTAAAAGAGAGCATCCACCCATCTATAAAGATACCAAGCCTCTTTGGGCTGTGCAACTGAAGTTATCCCAATGCTCTGACTTCATGCAACACTCAGCAGCATTATCAGTAACCTCTGGGTGAAAGGAAGATTAGGGAGGACATTACAATCCTCATGTGTCTGAGCATGTTAAAAAAAAATTAGAGCAGGCCCATTACATATGAAAGGCCATGCAAATTAAAAGTCAGATATTTTCATTGTAACCTTTAGACTAAAAGACAATTGAGCAAAATTTTCGAGGTGGGGAACAAATAGTCAGAGTAAGTTTGACACATGCTGAGTTTCTCTTCATGTTTATGAAGCTGATGTTGCACAGGATTAAAGTTTATCATACTGTTTCCCAACAGAAGTCCACATTAGTTAAAAAAAAAAAATCAAGAAAATCTTTAATTGGCACCAAAACTGAAACTCTACATAAAGGAGAACTACTAAAATACCCCATGACACCTCGTTTCCATCTGAAAAATTTGTGGCAAATATTGAGCCAAGCGAGTTGTGAAAGTGCTCTAGGAGTGATTAGAACCAAGTCTCAGTAAGCCTTTCCAGTTTGCTACGCTGTGCTGTGAGCAGTGAGCAGCACTGCTCCCTGGCTCTCAGCACCAGCTATGACTCACATGCAAGCTCTGAAGGGAGCCCATGTGCACACTCCTCTGCAGTCAGTCCCTGCAAGATGTTTACCCAGTTCTGCTCCAGAACTGCACTAGGAGGGAGCAGAAACATACACCGAACATGGGTGGGAAGAAAACAAGCCCAAAGAAGTGTTACACAGCATCCTTTAGGCTTTTCCAAATCCTCTTCCCGTAGCGCTGCATGTACTGCTGTCTTTTATCAAAAGTTTTATTTTTAGTTCTTACGGAAAGAGAACATTGCTTCAATCAGACCTGCTGTACATCACATATTAGACAACTAAAAATTGCATGTTTCCCTGCAGTGATATGCCAAATACTCATTCCCACCATATTCCAACAGTCAATACAGGAACTACAATGCCAACCCAGGGACTGCAGCAGGCCAGCTCCCCCTGAGATTAAGAACGGTCAGCAAGCCTCCCACAGCCATGATTGCAATAAATCTAGTGGCAGTGTCCAGCTGCACAGCATGCAAAAACATGGGGGACTGCCATGTTCCATAGTGCTTGTTTCCAACTGTCACAAGAAGCCATCCCAGCAGAGCAATGCTTTCCCAGCTAAAAAGATGTGCATTCCTGGAAGAACTGCTGTGCATGAATTTGCCCCATGCACAGACACTGGCAATCCTGGCTTTGATGATGCACAGTAAAACGAAAGCCACACCCACCAGCACACAGAACCCCCACAATTCATCACTTCTAAACTTACCGGGTCTTTTCCTGGCTTTTTCATGCCCTAGTTGTCCCAGATCATTGCATCCACATGTATAAACTGTCCCATCATCCAGGACAAAAACAGTATGTCTCAGTCCACATCCTACATCTCTGACCCTTTTATTTAGGAAAAAGTCACTTTTTCTGGGTTCTAAAACAATCTCTTCATCAATTCCACCCAATCCAAGCTGTCCAAAAGATGCATTGCCCCAGCACAACATGTTTACACGTCTTTTTATCAGAGATCTTCCAACTTCACTTTTCTAGAATATTCCTTCTGTGTAGCTGTTAAGAAAAAAGGAAAATGTACATTTTTCAGTATTGTCCCCAACATTTACATTACCTTCTATACAGCATGTAATCCATAGCTCATTTTCTCTCTACCAGTGTATTAAAACCCTGAACAATTTTTAAGAGTGTGATTTGCTTTCTTGGACAGGATTTGCATTAACTCTGCAGTAAAATGCTTTTGTTCCCATTTCTGATACAACTTTTAAGATGTGCAGGTAACTGGTTTTGCATAAGTTTGTTTCAAAAACTTAAAACATCATTCTTAGTAAAACTTTTTAAATGCCTAATCCAAATTTTTACAAACTTGCAGTTGCTACCAACTCCAGCCAGTGGACACGACTTCAAATATATTCCAAGGGGACAGTACAGGCTACTTTCTTTAGCTGAGGAGATGCATGACTCCAGGATGGACTGTGTATGGCCTCAAGATCATCACCAAAAACAACACTTGACTCACAGCTTGGAAAAAAGCAGTCAGCTCTGATCAATCCAGTTATGCAATACAAAGTACAACATGCTGTGTCAGTCATTACATTTAAACGACCAGCAGTCAACTGAACTCACAATTTAAAAGAAAATAAATAGCTGAAACTCAAGTCCCCAGTCCTGCACTGCAATCAACACCAGCTACAGCTTCAGTTACTCTGCAGCAGCAGCAGGCCATATACACAAATTCTCCAAGCAAGCCACACCCCTAATCCCTAAATTACAATTATCAGTATTTGTGCTGACAAACTCTGTACCTTTTTGGAAAGGATTCAAAGATGCCCTTCTCTTTCATTTGCAGTAGTCCACATGACAAAAAGTCGGTGACAATATTTTCACTACTCCTTACACCACATTTCCACAACAGCAAGTTTCTCTGCGTTTTCAGAGCAATTTAAAAGTCAATGTAATTTAATGTGAAATTACTATAAATTTTCATCTGTGACCATTATTTAGAAGACATTCTGCAGGGTCATAACATGTATAAACTACCTAAATTACAACCTGCTTGGAGAAGCAAGCCAACATCTAAGCTATCATCTAAGCCTTATGTACACCAAAGGGCAGAATTCTTGCCAGCACAACAGGATAAACTATTTTTCTCTGCAAAAGACAGAAGGAAATAAACAAGGCACTTATTTTTGTGACTGCATAAAAAACCCAAAAGCAACACTGCACCGAAACAGCCAAACAGCTTAAAATATATTGCATTCTGTTTACCTATCTCAGGAGGTGAGGCATGATCAAATATTTCCCTAGCTATATCCTACCACATTCAGAAGGGGACATCGAAAGGAAGACGTCTTCAGTTAAGACATAGCGACGCAACAGCACACGTCACACATCTCTAGCAGTGACTGGCTCCAACCTGCAACACAAGAAATCAGAAAAGATGTATCACTATAGTTCTTCAAGATTTCTATAGTCAAGATTTATCTCCATCTCCAGCAGGGAAAAAAAAAGTTCTCCTTTCTGTTGAACTACATATGTATTTCTACGGAAGGCGGGGTTGTTTTGTTTTGTATCATTTAAGAGTCAGTAGCCAAAGTTCTGTACTTTGATCTCAAATCACGGCACTCCGTCCCCCTGTGCGTGGCCATCAGAGCCAACTCGCGCCGCCGGCCGCAGGGCACTCCCGCGTGCCGGGGCAGCCCCGCGCTCTCCCCGCGCCGCCGGGGCAGCGCCCGGACGCTCCGCGCAGCCTGGCGCGCG